AGAGTTGCGCCTCGATGTCATTGCCCTGATTTGAGAATGAACTAACTTTCAACGTGTAAGCTCTCTCTCGAGCAGAACAAGATCCGAGGACGGGGATGAGCGAGCAACGGCAGTGAACGCTAAAAAAAATGAACATTTAAAATAAAAATGTTCGCTATACTACGGACTTCTATTTGATACAGGACTTCTATTATTAAACAGATTCTGTCATTTGTGAGCGGACTTGTATTTCCTACAGGACTTGTATTCGGGAAAATCCGTTATTTAAAATGCTTTCCACTTGTACGTATTAGGCGAGAATACAGTGCGAAAAGTAGTTTGGAAAATATATTCATTAAAATATACAATATGTATTTTATTGACATTTCTTCTAACCCCTGCTAGCAATTGTGAATTATTGTAGGCACTCTACCACTGACATAATTGTGGCTGTATCTGGGTTGCACAAAAATCCTGTGAGGGAAAAAAAACTGGTGTTCCGAGCGTAAGGCGAACACGATGATCTTATTTGGTTTGCTAAATTTTAGAATATCTCGGGCACAGCACCACTTTCTTTTTCTATATTCGTTCAGTAGTATCTCACCATCAAGCATACTATACCAATTTTGCTTGACTTCGATTCTCTCGTTTTCAACGAGACATGGCTCACTGGATACAACGCGCACTTCACTGGCTACATACAACGACAGATAAATCCGGCACCACTGAATGCCGTCCTCCATAGTAATTTTACGACAATTCCTACAAGGTATATCCACGTAAAACACACTAAATAGACCATAAAATACACTAAATGACAGAGAAAATACTCATAAGCATATGGAATACAAAGACCAAGTCAAATAAACAAATCTGATTGGCTGGACAGTAATGATTGTGAATTGCACAACTATATCTGCCAGACTTTTGTGTCTGCCGGGTTTCTCCGTTGTTGTCTATACATCACTGCACTCGCTGTTCACTTTCTGGTCCTGGCCAATAGAGATGACATTTGTTAGGAGATTTGCGGTTTGGTATCGTGGACACAGTCTGCATTTATTCCATTATTTTTACTGTTGGCCTGTGCTTTGTGGTTCTGCTGGATTGTAAGAAAAATGTTAAGGTCGAATCAAGAGGTTTATGGGATCCTTCTTGAATCTGTCGGTCTAAACTATACTACTAGAACGCGGTGATCCAAGCTGATCAGACTCGCACCTATTTTCTAATCGATTAGACTGGCCACATTCTAAACGGCCAGTTCGTCCAATGAAGTTTAGGGATTGATGAATGGTTCGCACTGCATCGCAGAGGAAAAGCATTGTAATACAACGTCTGCTGCCACTGGAATTCTGGAGAAATGAGTGCCTGTTCGAAAACCCCAAATACGCCCTCCACGCTGTTAAGTAGCTGCAACATCGGCGACAACATATCGCTCTGGGATACTACCCTTGTCATGCGGCTTGAGTCATCCCACTCGAAACACGTTGACCCGCGCA